GAAATTAAGTAACAATGTTATTTAACCGTGTGGTAGCGACATATGAGAATTTTGTCTCCTGGGTGTCGAAAAAAGCGAGTAGACAAGAAAAAAAAATAAAGCAGGAAGACAAGACCTGCAATATATGACGGTACTTCATTTCGGTACGAGATCGCTATCACCTCCTTGTTCTCGAAAATAATGGAGTTCATCATTAACTGCCAGCTCATGCGGCATCTTGAGGAGCACCAGTTGATTAGTGACCGCCAGTTTTCGTCGGAGTCGCTCAGCTGGTGATCTTCTTGTTTACTTAACACACCGATGGGCGCAGGCAGTGAAGTCCAAAAGGGAAGCCTTGGCTGTTAGTTTGGACATTGCGAAGAACTACGATCGGGTTTGACACAAAGCACTCCTTCCGAAGCTCCCATCTTGTGGGCTTTCCCGAGAAATTGTGCAATTGGATCACTAGCTTTCTTGCAGATTGGAACATCAAGGTCTTAGTAGACGGTGCATGCTCCGATTACAAGCCTATTAATGCTGGTGTTCCACAAAGCTGCGTGCTACCACCAACGCTGTTTCTTCTGCATATCAATGATATGTTGCAAACCGGTAATATTCATTGCTATGCGGATGACAGCACTGGTGATGCTTTATACACGGGCCGTGCCAATATTTCTCGAGAAAATATCGCAGAGTACAGGAACAAACTTGTGTCTGAAGTTAAGTCTTTGCTGAACAAAGTCACAGATTGGGGGCGACTAAATCTAATCCAATTTAATCCCCAGAAGACAGAAGTTTGCGCGTTTACCGCTAAAAAGAACCCCTTTGTCGTATCTCCTCAGTTTTAAGACGCTCCCCTTGTTACCTCAGCCAGTATCGGAATCCTCGGCGTCGACATATCGAAAGATATGCAATTTCGTGGTCACTTGGAAGAGAAGGCCAAATCGGCCTCTAAAATGCTTGGAGTGCTCAGTAGAGCGGGACAGTATTTCATGCCGGCGCAAGGCGGCACAAGGTGCAGGCAGGTTTGGCCTCACGTGGAATAATGTTCCCATATAGATGGGGACCATGGAATAATTTTCCCATAGGCGCTGGAGCTCCCCAGTGCTATCACCTTCCACTTGACCGCATCCAGCGCAGTCTTCGACGACCGAGTCTTTTCTGATCGGCTCGATTCACTGGCGATGCGAAGAGATGTTGCATCCCTTTGCATCTTCTAACCATATACCACGGGGAGTGCTCTGAGGAATTGTTCGGATTAATCCCAGCCGCTAAATTACACGAACGCACGTCGCGACAAAATTCGTGATACCATTCATACCATCTGGATGCTAGGCGATCAACCCCTGTATGTTTCACTAGGAGTTTTCTTTGTTTTACGACCCCTCTGAGAAATTGTTTACCAACGGCGCTTTTTCCGGACCGATACGACTTAGTGACCTTCAAGAAAAGAGCTTACTCCTTTCTAAAAGGCTGGCAACGCACCTGCAATTCCCCTGGTGTTGCAGTTGTTCATGGGCGGCGATAGTCACTTACCATCAAGTGAGCCGCATGCTCGTTTGCCCCCTCTCCTATAAAAAAATAATAGTCTCGTGAAAGCTCAAAAACGGCTCGACCGAGTTTGATGATTTTTTTGTGTGTTATTGAATTCGCAATAATTTTAATTGTTCCACGAACAAACAGGAACCTCAAAAATTAAGAATATTATAGGAAATTTCATTTGGAGTATCAACTCCAACTGAAATTTTCGCCTCCTTACTTAACTTGCTTTCCACTGTTTTTGTGTTAAACCACTTCGAAAGTCATAATAAATCATCGTTCTTGAATTTTCTCGAGTCAATTCCATTTTTTCAACGACTAGACAAGTTTGACAAAACCTTGTGACAAGACCGAGAATCTTCTTTTAAATAAATAAATGGTATTCGATTTTTAATAGCAAGGAATTTTCAATTTAAAAAAAAATTATATGACAGGAACAGTGGAAATATTCCATTCCCGATACTTTTAGTGCAGCCCTCGTATAAGCGATGCGGTTCTATAATAATGAAAAGAAAAACGAATTTTAACTTTTGTAGGTACTGTTTTTATTATACATCGTTTATTTATCACAGAACATATTTCCAATGTACTAACAGTTTATATATACCAAAAACAAAATATAAGTGGCATCTATAAATACTGTTTAAAGATTTACTTGTTTTGCTTACGATTCATTTAAAAGTTATAAATAATTCTAAATATTATTTAACTTTATTTTACCAATAAACACACAACTGTATGAATGAATCTTTTATCTGTAATACAACCGATGAAGATTCATCAACATATTTGTAAGAACTGGATGCTTATATGAGTGTCTTGATAAAACTGATATTAATTTCGAATCTTTTTTTATTATATTCTTTGAGTAAAGAAATAAAAGCAAGAAAATATTCTATGAACACTATCCACGTTTATATTCCAAAATCTGAGTTTACCTTAAGATAAAGCATTTGAAAAAAATGTTTTCATAAATTAATTGTTGTCAATTGTCTTTTTAATAAATATGTTTTTTTTTTAATTTCTTTTATTTCATGTGACTTGATAATATTTACAAAACACATTTACACTAGATACTTATACAAAACTTAAATAAGTTACAAGTATTGTCATACTTATCAGAGCGGACTCCCTTTCACAAACAACAACTGATTCAAAAATACAATTTTGAGGAGTATAGAAAATATTTCGAGGCTATTACATAATATAGTATATCTTCGCTAATGTTTATGTTTAACATTGTAAATCATTCCATATACATAGGTACGAAAGAACATGCAATTATTTACAAATAGAAATATCACATATTTTTAATAATAATAATAAATTACAATTATAGGTACATATTTTTGAATTAAAACTAAAGTTACGGATTTTATCGCGTTTTGTTTAACTTATTTTTGTTTCGGATGCTTTACAGCACACATATTTAATAACCAATGATATCGGGTTAGTTAACAATGATGTCGGGTCGTCAAACATCTCAGGTGCCACGTGACCATGGGTTCTGTAAAAAACTCGAAACGTCGAGAATTAAAATTAGTAAATATAAATTAAATTAAACGCGATAAAATCCGTAAAATTCTGTTTTATTCAATGTGTAGTATTCGTGCAAATATAACAACTCATTATATCTTTGTCAATGTCATTTATTAATCCTATGGTTGACACCGAGGTAATTTCATTATTTATTGAAATAAACTGGCTATGATTGTGATATTTTTTGTTATTCAAGTTTGTGGCAATCTCAGTCTTAGACCAACAAATATTATTTGTTGGTTGTACTCCTTGTATTAGTCTGAGGTATCAATTTATTTCTTAATAACACATCAATTGGTAGAGTAGATTTTTGATTTTTTTCTCTTAACACATACTGTGTTAAGAGAACGAACGAACGGCTCATATGTTAAAAACATTGATCAATATTCGGTGTATTTTCTGTAAATAATTTAATATCAAATGGTTGGCATGATTCTAAACAGCAGCTATGCAAATGGTCATAATTAAACACACAAAATGGCAAGAAACGGATCCAGACGTATCTATACATATAATAAAAAATCTAAGTATTTGTCTATGGTATATGTAACTGTTTTATATTGAGCTGAGGGGCTATTTGCTTGCAGTTAAGACGTGAATAACCATTTTAAAAATGTTTCTCTGTCTGTCTGTGTGTCTGTCCGGGTTAATCTTCGTAATGGCTAATTTTGAAAATTATTTCAATATTACAGACAGACACCTCAATTTTATTTATATGTATATAACCTGTAATTAAAAGGACATTTCTAGTTATTTAAATAGAGTTAATTTATTGACACTATACATTATATAATAACTTCTGTAAAATATAGTCATTATAAATAAACTAAGAACAAAATGTTTGTACTGATTTAATTGCAAATAAAGAATTTAAATGTTCAAACTGCACTAGGTTTTTACAAAGCTTTCGGTTTCAAAAAATGCATTTTGGTGACATTTTCGAATGCTTTTTTTCAGATCTTTAAATATGTAGGTACTGCGTGTTCATTTCATGAATGCCGTTACCTTGCGTCGCGCTCCCTCATACCGCGCCTCAAGCGTCGCCCATATAGTACCGATAGCAACGCTGAAATGTATCTACGTCCGTTGTTTGTGCTCCCGTGCGATCTCTTGTTTGTTACTGTTTTTGTTATTGTTTTTGTTACTGTTGATTTTTTGTTACGGTTGAATTTTTACGTTCGTTAATTTGTGATAAACACAGAATCTAGTGATGGCAGTGCTACAGGGACGAAAGATTTTGATAAAAGTTATAGATTACAAATAACTACCTACCAGTTTTTTTCCCGCCTTCGTAAATAACTTATTTAGAATTTAGAATATATAATAAAACTATAATAAAAATATTTTATTTTATCGGACACGTTTCTAAACAGTGTCATTATTTTACTTTACTAAATAAATTATTCAATAATATGCATTTTATCTACTTGCTTGCCCTCCATTTCTCTGTACAGGACAACAAACTAAAAATCGAACTTCGTACAATAATTAAAACACTTACAATAATAGTTTTGTCTACGGTACCGTCAGCTGTGACGTCATAACGGTCGGCGACGGCAAACTCGAAATGAACGCGTAGTACCCTGTTTGAATGTATGCTCTTGTTAATAAATATTATCCCGTTATCTTAATTTGTTTAGATATTACATAACAATAGGGAACGGAAAATATATGCGGTCAAAGAAGTCTTTCACCCGCGACGCGGCGCTACTGTCTTCGCGCATATTTTGACATATGCTGTCAAATGCAATACTAAAGTTTAATTTGCATATATTCCATAGGTCCTCTGTATCGAAACAGACTCGAGTTCGAACCTGTGACTAATTGTAAACTTATTTTTATAATAAGATGAACACAGTCTAGATAATTAACTCCTCATTTCGGAAGCAATAACACTTAACAAATAATTTAGAGATCGATCCCAATGCTCTTAAAACTGTTGGTTATACTTCTTCCTTGATTCTGCTAGGTTCCCTCTGTCGTATTGATCCTCTGTTGGAGGCCCGTACTGAGCCTCTGATGGAGGCTCTTGAACTGATCGCGCTCGGCATTGCTCTCACGAAGTTTGTCGGCTCCGTTTGGTTTGTTGAGAGTGACGCACGTTTTATATAACGCTCCGGGTTTTCTTCTTCATCGGTTTTCCTAGAAAGGGGTGGAGAATATTTAATGATTTCTTATTTACATAAATCGGCTATTGAATATATATATTTTATTGTTTCTTTTTTTGGTTTTTAAAACTTTACCTACACACTAGGATTTTCTCCCGTATCGCGGGGGCAGTTTACATACACTGATTTCACAAGGACAAACATCCAGACCCAGGACAATTATTTGTAGGCCATATAAATACTTGTTTAGTGCGGGATTCGAACCCGCGGCCCTTAACGCTGCAACTCATTGCTAAGCAACTGCCCCACGAAGCAATCAAATAATGATTGGACTTTGAATGATGAATATTAATTTTTGACTGGATCTAGGTAAGGTAGCCGGGCTAAATATGACATCGGGATATCAAACACTTCAGTCCCCCAGAGAAAGGTGGGAAATTACAAATAAGTATAATAAGTTAAACTAAACGCGATAAAATCCGTAAATTTAATTTTATTCAGTGAAGAGAATATTTGTATTTTTCTTAGTTTTTACCGTTTTCATCATCATCGTCGTCATCAGCTCTTAAAAGCTGTACGTGCCGACGTGACATTCCGTAAGGGAGTATTCGCCATATGCCGGGTTTCTATATTTAAAAACGATTCGTTTTCTTTTAGGACACGTTTTGCACTAAATGAAGTGCATCAAACACCCTACTATAAAACAAAATACTAGTTCAAATATTTATAGACCGTTTAAAGAAAGAAAGAAAGAACTATTTATTTGATATACACATTTTACACACATTAAAAAAATATTATAAACAAAAGCAAGGGGAAAAGAATGCATGTACCAGTCTAACACTGTTTACGCATTTACAATTGAGAAGCAGTACATACACAATAATAAAACAAACAAACAAACAAAAAGGTAAAAAGGAAAAAAAATCAATATGAAAATGTGACATCAAAAAGGTCTCCAACTCAGCATAATGCTGCAAATACAGCGCTGGTTTTCAGTTGGAGCCGTTTAAAGTTTTAGTTTTTATTTTAAGTAATCCTAAGTTCCTGAATGAATAGTTTGTAATATAAACTGTACAAGCGCCTCGTATGTAATAAAACGAATCGTGACGGGGAACGAAATGTTTTTTGAATATAGGAATAGGGCATAGATAACTACGCTTCTGTATTCAAAATTTCAAGTCTCCAGCTCATCGGGAAGTTAGTTTAAAATCATTTAATAAATTCAACCCAAACGGACATACACGAAAGCGTGTTATTAAAAACCTGGTAAATTACCTGGAGAAGCAAGGGTTGTCCCAGAACTTCTGATCTTTGCCGAAGTTCTCCCCATCTTGTAAGGTCTGAGGCATCTCAGTGTCCATGGTCTCGGGCAGGAAGAGGCAGAGCAGTCCTCCGAGCACTCCCAACACTCCTAGTATAAGAAGTGGCAACTCTTGATAGACGTTGGCCTGGGGACAAGTTACAACATATTATTCTCCACCCTTGACATAATTAAAAGGATTTTTTCTTCTTATTACGGTTGTAGCAAGAACTGGTCGGCTCAACCGAGAAGGATCACACTCTCACGAAATAACAGCTTAATGCTGCTGTGTTTCGTATGGCAAGTGTAGAGAACCGGAGAACCATATTACTAGGAACGAGCCATTACATCTTGATCCTGGTGATGTCGGTCGACTGTCGTTATGATAACCTTTATCTCAGAAACTGGCAGAGGTATCAAATTGAAATTACCAATCTCTAAAGTCTACATATATAGTCCCTTGGAGGTGTAATTTTTTTAAGTCAACGCAATCAGAAGATACGGCCTCCTATGTCACATATCTTAATACTAACAAACTCTGTAAATAAAACCTATAGGTTACTTCCCGTTGTAAGAATTATGAAATTTGGTAAAAAGCAAGGTTTTTATTTATAGGATAGGGGTGATAAACGAGCACACAGTCCACCTGATGGTAAGTGGTTGCTGTGGCCCATAGACATCTATATCTATTCTCGATTACTAATCAAAATGTAGATGCGTTGTCACCCGTGAGGACTAAGATGGAATGCCTCGGTTCCGGTAAAAAGGGTCTCCGGTTCTCTACACTCACCATATGAAACACAGCAGCGTTAAGCTGCTATTTTACGCGGTATTCTGTGAGAGCGCGGTCCTTCCCCGGTTGAGCCGACCCATTCGTGCTACAACTATACTACTAATATAGCTGCAGCATGGCTCTACCACTTAAAAAAGTTATAAGTCATAAGAAAATAACAAAATATGAAAATTATTAATTTGTAGCTACTAAAATGTACATTTTGCGATTACAAACTTAAATTTGCAGTTGGAGCATCGACCGTAATCTAAGACCGAAAACGAGACTGGTTAAACTTTTTTTTACAGTAAATTAAGTATGCCTTTTCGTTAGAGAAATATTCAGTGCTTACCTAATCTGTATTTTTTACAAAATGACATGCAAGCACACAGTCCACCTGATGATGCGTTGTCACCCCTGAGGACTAAGATGAAATGTCTCGTTACCAGTTAAAAGGGTCTCCAGTTTTCCCACCATACGAAACACAGCAGCATTAGTGTGCTGCTGTGTTCACTGAAAATATACTTCCCACGATGCAATTTGTGTGTAAAATCCTTTAAAAATAGGACTACTCTATATCTACAACATTCCATATCACCATATTTTATATGTGATAGAGGCACGCTCCAGTTATTACGACTACGGCATCCAGGCTACGGCACGAATGTAGGCTCGACTGGGGAAGGACCATAGCTTCACAGAATACGGACATAAATACGACAACACACTTTAATGCTGATGTGTTTCGTATGGTAAGTGTAAAGAAGTCCTTTTTACTGGTAGTAAGGCATTCCGTCTTAGTCCTCGGGGTGATGATGCATCTGCAGTTTGATTTTCAATCGATGACTCATGTAGATGACTATGGGCCACACAGTATCCATCAGGTGTATTGTGTGCTCGCTTATCACCTTTATCTATAAAAAAACATAATGTTCTTTACCGAATAAACGACGAAAGGCGCGATGATGGAAGCTACATAACCCATAATGTGGATCAAGGCTACGCCTTGAGCGCGGACCACAGTTGGCAGCAATTCCGCCGCATACTGTAGCCCGATATTATAGGAGATGTTCACGGCGAACCGGCCCATGATCGCCATCGAGGCTGATGGACCACCTGTAAAATAAATATCCTTTTAATATGTAATATAATGAATAACGAACATATATGGAGGCGCGGCACAGGTAAAACGCACCGAAGAGTAAATCACGCTATCAAAGTTCCAAAGTACTTCTGTGTATATAATAGTTCTGTACTACTAATCTGAACGTTTGCCGCACCCCGCACTGATCACCTTGCCCAACGGGAGACTTCCACCTTTTCCTTCCACGGCCAAAGTGGTGATCCGTACGTAATGTAAACACACAACATGCATTTCAAACTTTGTAAACCTTAACTTCAAGCTTTTGTCATCGTCCTCAAGTATCTCTTCCATTCGCTTCCGAGTAGATATCGTCTGCAGTTTTCAGATCCTTCAAGCCACCTAGTTTTACAAGGTTTATCGCAGCCCTGGAATAACGCTTCCTATTCCTTCAAGCTACCTCTTTAGACTACAACTCTCGGCACGGCTCTGAGCCTTACTGCTCGCCTTTGCCTCACGACACTCTCGCAGATTACTTGCCTTCGTCTCGACTTACCGCAGACTACAAGGTAAATCTTGGCACGCGCACATTCTGGACTGCACTATCGACCTCCGGTCTAAGCAGAGGGTCGTGATACTACGGCGCAGATGTCGTGCCACAAGTGGGAAGCACCGAAACTTAAATCATGCTATCAAAGTTCCGAAATACTGCGGTATATTATATTATATATAATAAATCTGTACTACCACAATAAATATATATGGATATTTGATTATTTATACATGGTAAAGCCACGCTGCAGCTCAATTATGGATGTACCTCTAATGAGTTGGTGCGACAGAATACCAGCGTAGCGGGCGTAAAACACCACCAACTTGCAGATGGAATGCTAATGAGATAATTTTGACAGAAAACTTAATTAATTTGATCTCGGGACCCCACGGTCAGCAGCCGCATTTACGACCACTACACCAATGCGGCAGTCAATATGTGTTTATAATATTATATATATTATGAATGATGTTTCCTACTAACCTACAGGAACCGCTGTAGCAAGGAGACTGAATATACCACTGATGACCATTGAACCACAGGCAAGCCACCTTCTGCCCCATCTGTAGAAAAATCAAATTAATTAATAAAATTAATTAAAAGAAAAAACAGTCCAATTATATTTATTACATGCTAGAGCTACGAACACTGCAGCTATATTATGGTTTTTATACGTGGTAGAGCCATGCTACAGCTATACGAGTATTAGTAGTATAGTTGTAGCACGAATGGGTCGGCTCGACCGGGGAAGGAACACGCTCTCACAGAATACAAGTAAAATAGCAGCTTAACTCTGCTGTGTTTCATGTGGTGAGTGTAGAGAACCGGAGACCATTTTTACTGGAAACGGGGCATTCCATCTTAGTCAGTCCGCGTGCAAATCTGAATCTGCATTTTGATTCGCAAACGAGGATAAATGTAGATGTCTATGGGCCACAGCAACCACTTACCATCAAGTGGACTGTGTGCTCGTTTGTCACCCTATCCTACAAAATCCTAAAAAAAGCAGGTATAGGTCGGCTTGACCAGAGAAGAACCACGCTCTAACTAAATACCGGCGTAGTAACTTAATACTACTGTTTTTCGTATGGTAAGTGTAGTGAACCGGAAAAGGAGAATGTTTATTGATAACAAGGCATACTATCCTAGTTCACAGAAGCAACAACACGCTTCTGAATTTTGATTCATATTCGAGAAGTAAGTGTAGACACCTGCATGGGCTACAACATCCACTTACCATCAGGTGGACAGTGTAGTAGTTTTCCATACTTAATTGTATATAAAAGTAGAGTTGGAAACAGTGTGTAGTGAACTATATGCTCACCGTTTGACACCCTTACTTTTACAACACATTCATCTTCGTCCTAGGAGTGACAGAGTGCATATGCATTTTGATTCTTAATCGAGGATAAATGTATAGATGGGCCACAGCATCCACTTATCATTAGGTGGACTATGTGATTCTATGTCTCCCTTAATTGTATAAAATTCAAATACAAATAATTACTTTTTTAAATTATATTAAATTACTTTTATTCGCAACAGCAAAGAAGGGGAATAAGTTGCCAGAAATCTGTCTTTCAATCCAATAACAATTTGGGTATCCTCAAGGAAAGAGTGAATAAGCTAAGTCAGTGCGCTAAGCTAAGTCAGTGCGCTAAGCTAATTCAGTGCGCTAAGCTAAGTCAGTGTGCTAAGCTAATTCAGTGCGCTAAGCTAAGTCAGTGCGCTAAGCTAAGTCAGTGCGCTAAGCTAATTCAGTGCGCTAAGCTAAGTCAGTGCGCTAAGCTAAGTCAGTGCGCTAAGCTAATTCAGTGCGCTAAGCTAAGTCAGTGTGCTAAGCTCAGTCAGTGCCCTAAACTAAGTCATTGCGCTTAACCATCTTCGGCGACGTCATCACTTACCATCAGGTGGGGTAGTGGTCAATCATTGACTTAGAGTAGTAAAAATATCACAAAACAAACATTACCTATCCAGTACAGCGGTCAAGAACGTGTCAGCTGGTAACTCAGTCGCTGAGGCGATGGTGAACGTGAGGAATATATCGAGGCCCAAAGTGCCCACGTTCCTCACGTGTCCGTCGAAGACTAGGGAGATGGCCATCCAGATAACGATAAGGAGGATCGCGTTCTTCCGAAGACGAGGAGTTCTAAAGAGGTCCAAGACGGAGTAGGTTCGTGATTCGGCTTCACATTCTTTAATTGTCTTTAGAGATGATTCCTGGAAAATTTGAAGAAATATAATAAGAAATTATAGAAAAAATATATCCATTTCATTATCATTATATCTCTTTAAAAGTCCACAGCTGAACATAGGCCTCCCCCAAGGAATGCCACAAAGCATGGTACTGAACAACCTGCATCCATCAACTTCTCGTATATCTCCTCCGTAGTGGAGGATCGCCGTATACTTTGTTTACCAGTTCAAGGCTACCACCCGTGAAACTTTCTACTGTTTATCAGTTTGGTAAAGGCCGCTACTGACATGCCTGCTGCAGGGGCAAACTAGGGTGTAGGAGTGGGGATGACCCTTAATTGTGATGTGTGTAGGCAAGCAGGGGCAATTTTTAAGTCGGCCCTGCGGCAGGGCGGCAGGAGCGTAAAGGCGGCTACTGACCTGCCTGCCGCAGGGGCAAACTAGGGAGCACAGCGATCGGATCAATATCGGAGCTATCTCTACACACACGCCTGCCTTTCAGTATGAGAGTGTACGTCTCGCTGGACGCACGCGTTGAGAATGGCGCCAGTTTTATCTAAATATAAATGAGTCGGTATATATAGCCTTGGCTCATTTTTATATAGAATAAGGGTGACAAATGAGCACAGTCCACCTGATAGTAAGTGGACACTGTGGCCCATAGACACCCATATTTGTCAATAAGAGAACTAATTATAACCATAATATAGTGCTTATAAGCTGCAGCATAGCTCTGCCACGCTATTTTTAGGCTATCATAGACAATTAAATATGACTAACTTCACTCGTCATAATTTAATATAACTAATTTATTCTGTGATATAACTTAACTTATCTAGTGCTTAGTTACTATAATTTAACTAGTGTTACAAATAGTCAGGATAGTTTTCTAATGATGAGTTTTAATAAAATTTAATTATTAAAATTAGTATTTTTGTTTAATTATTTAGTTAATAACATTTTATTTATATTCGACCAATTTTAATATTATTGGAATATTTTCTTTCCCATACTAGCCCTTATGATAAGTTAGGTAACAAATCCCAGTAATGTTACTTGTAAGTTACAACGTTCAAATAACGTTCTTTCTGCGGTTATGACTTGTACTCATACGTGTGCTCCGCGAGAAAGTCGCAGCGAACTGATTGAAATTGCTCCAATTGCGCTATACACGCTACAGCGGCAGGGCCGATCTAGGGAGCAAGGAAGGTATTGCGCTTCTGCCGCAATGCCGCAGGGCCAACTCAAAAAATTGCCCCTGCTTGCCTACACACATCACAATTAAGGAGGCAATTAAGGGTCATCCCCACTCCTACACCCTAGATTGCCCCTGCGGCAGGCATGTCAGTAGGCGCCTTAAGACCTTCCTTGCTCCCTAGATCGGCCCTGCCGCTGTCGCGTGTGTAGCGGAATTGGGGCAATTTCAATCAATTCGTTGCGACCTTCGCGCGGAGCACACATATGAGTACAAGTCAGAACCGCAGAAAGAACGTTAGTTAAAGGTTGTAACTTACAAGTAACATTACTGGGATTTGTTACAATAACTTAACATAAGGGCTAGTATGGGAAAAAATATTCCAATAGTATTAAAATTGCTGGAATATAAATAAAATGTCATTAACTAAATAATTAAACATACAAATTTTAGTAATTAAATTTATTAAAACTTCATTAGAAAACTATCCTGACTATTTGTAACACTAGTTAAACTATAGTTACTAAGCACTAGTTAGTTAAGTTATATCACAGAATAAATTGGTTATATTAAATTATGACGAGTGAAGTTAGTCATATTTAATTGTCTTTGATAGCCTAAAAATAGCGTGGCAGATCTATGCTGCAGCTTATAAGCACTATATTATGGTTGTAATTATTAATTAATTAGTTGTTTTATTGATAAATGTGGGTGTCTATGGGCCACAGTTTCCACTTACCATCAGGTGGACTGTGCTCATTTGTCACCCTTATTCTATATAAAAAAGGGCCAAGACTATGTATACCAATTTATTGATATTTCGATAAAACTGGCGCCATTCTCAACGCGTGCGTCCAGCGAGACGTACACTCTCATACTGAACGGCAGGCATGTGTGATGTGTGTAGAGAAAGCTCCGATATTGCACCGATCGCTGTGCTCCCTAGATTGCCCCTGCGGCAGGCAGGTCAGTAGCCGCCTTAATGTGTCCCACCGCTGGTCAAAGATCTTGATTTACTTCTTCCACCTTTAGCGATCTTAAACTCTATTAAAAATAATAATAACTAAATTTATAGAAGTACGTTCCGTATTTTCAATCTATATATTTAAAAAAAATCGGTGTCTTGATTAAAACTATTTTACGTGTTTGATTAATGTTTCATTTTAACTAATTATTTTTAAGTTCCCACACAGCATAAATGTTGCAAAGCATTCAAAATAAACATTAGTCAACCGTGGGTCAATTATAATTTAAAAAAAATATATATATGCGAACTTGACATCAACAAAAAGGGTCGCCCTTTTTACTGGAAAAGAGGCATTCTTTCATTCATTTTAGTCCTCACGGGTTACAACGCATCTACATTTTGACTCTTTATTGGTGATGGATGTAGATGTCTATGGGTCACAGCAATCACTTACCATTAGGTTTACTTTGTGGTCGTTTATCACCCTATACTATATAAAAAACACGAAATTATCTTCACCTTTCGCTTATATTACTTATACTGAAACTTTTCTGCAAATTGGGCGTATATTGCAAAATAACCCTGTATATTATATAGATATACTGTATATTATATAATATATACTTACGGTAAACTCGCTGATTACTTTGTCAGGAATTTTTGTTTTGTTTATCCTTTCGAACTTCTTCATAATTGTTAGAGCTTTATCTATTTTACCTTGCGAGACCAACCATCTGAAACAAGACCACAGACAATTTAGAATATTTGTAAGATATGGCTTTATAATTAATTAAGTTGATTCGTTTGATTCGAAGCCGAAAAAAATTTGATTCGGCCTTTTATGATAAAAACTGAAGTAAGTTCTTAAAGTTGGAAGAAGTTTATTTAAATTAATTTTATTCGTTTAATTCCAAATTTATTTTAGAAGGTTTACCTTCAATTGACCTTCCATTAACATACAAAATGTCATCCATACATTCCATCCATCCATTACAGCCTATAAAATTCCACTGCTGAACATAGGCCTCTTGCATTGATCGCCTCGTAGGAAGGACTTTGCCATAGCTGCCACGCTTGGCAAGCGAATTGGCAACAGCAGTTTTTATTATTATTTTTAGTTGTTATCAGAAAGACGCTGCTGCTCATCCTCTGTTTTTTTGTTCACCTGTCGACTCGTACTACACCCATGGCTCGATATGGGGTTTTGGATATTTTTACACCGTAAACTTATTATAATTTCACAATTACAGATAAACACCGCCAAGCAATAATTTAAAACTTAATTTATGAATGATAAGAAAAAGAAACATTATTAAAGTAAAACGACAAGTGAACTAGACCAAACGGCCGAGGGTTAGGGGGAAAGGGAAAGAAACCGGCGGACGATGCGGGCGGTATCGAGGAGCACCGCCTTCTGCATTTGAGCTTGGAGCGGTCCGTCACGGAGTCCCAGTCGCCTCAGATGACCCGAGAGGCTGACTGGGATTAACCCGTTCGCAGAAACGACTACAGGTATAATTTCGGCCGGCAGTCCACCCCACATGTCGGTCACCTCGTGAGCCAGGTCCAGATATTTTGTACGCTTATCTGTTTCGGCTTTCACGAGGTTCTCGTCATACGGAACGGTAGTGTGGACCAGAAATATCCTTGACTGTGCCCGGTCCATCAGCACAATATCAGGCTTATTCGCAAGAATAGTCCTGTCTGTGATGATGGCCCGGTCCCAGTAGAGCCTGGCGTGGTCATTTTCGAGCACGGCTTCCAGCAACTACTTATAATATGGCAGTTTCCGATCCACGAGACCGTATTTCAGAGCGAGCTCTTGGTGTAGACTCCTGGCTACTAGGTTGTGTCTGTGCAAATACTCAGACTACTTATTAATATTATTATTATACAAAAGAAATAACTTAATTTGGTATCGTGTCTAACTAGTACTTCCGAAAAGCCATTAGTATATGAGGAAACAAAATGTATATATATCATTCCGGCTACTGACCCCACTATAAAGTTTACTTAATTTAGCTATAGCAGAATTGTTACCAAGCACAGTCTTAGTACGAAATGGTACGGTAAGTGAGAGAATGAGAAGTCGTTAGTGTTGCCTGGGCACTTTAAAATTATACAAGCTAAAAAGTTGGGGACAGTCAAACTTCTTAAAATATTAACCTTCATCGTCCCACGGGTGCCGTAAGAGGCGACTGAGGAAAACTGAAGCAGGAGATGGGTAGCAGTTTATTCATGATAACGACTCAAAGTTATGAAAACTGCGGAAGGCCTTCCCACAGTGTGCATCATAAAAGAATATTGGCTACAATGGCTACATAGTATATAATTTAAAATTAAAAATTTTGTACAACCGACTTCAACATAAATTATTAAGAATAACTCAAAAACTATCAGTCAGACCTTATTCAAATTTATATGGGACCACATGAGAAGCACTAGCTTTCAAATAAAAAAAGAATCATCGAAATCGGTTCATCCAGTGAAAAGTTATGAGGTAACACACATCAAAAAAACATACAGTGGAATTGAGTATCGTTTCCTTTTTGAAGTCGTTAGAAAATTAAGGTTAAAGTTTATTCAGCTGGTAGCCTAAGTTTCATGACAAAGATGAAGTAATATTTAGCACCTGAAAATGGAAGATTTGAACCGCTTTTATGTCCTTGTTATCGCAAGAAGGATAACTTTTAACATAAATTTTAATTTCTCATGGCGTGTTTTGCCAGTAATAAAATATGGACCTGAGACTTGTTTCTTTACGTAAGATAAATTTTAAAGTGCAGCGAGCTATGGAGAGGGATATGTTGGATGAATTCAAATTGAAGATTACCGGAGCAGAACTAGAGTAACCGACAGTTTAATGGATCGGAACGAAGTAAGCTGAAGTGGCAATGGGGCGGTCGTATATGTAGCTCGAAGAACCCACACCCGATGGGAAAGAAAGGTTCTCGAGTGGCGGCCTTGAAACGGTAAGCGAAGTATAGACCAGCCCTCAAATATATATAGTGGCGACCTGGTGAGATATGCATGAAGTCGATGGATATACATGGCTCAGGACTGTGTTTTGTGATACATTGTAGTAGATTAAAACATTTTGGGACACAACATACAGATTTGGGGGGAGGGCGGGGCTATGCTCAGCAGTGGAATTTTGGAGGGCTGTAATGATGACGATGATAATATATTTAGTTAAACTTCTGGAATTAGAAAAAAAATTATTAAAAATTACAAACCTAGCACTTTCTGGCACTAGCCAAGGTGTAGCCAGTGCTAGAATAAATGGTGCACTGGTCCACAGAGCGAACTTTCTCCAGTCGTCTGCCCACAACGCTATCCAGGGTAGGAGACACGAAGCCAGAGTGAAGAAAATGGCGATTGACATGTTCGCAACAAACGTTCGCCATTTCGGACCAACGTATTCCAGAACTGAAACGAAGAGAAGATTTTGTTAGTTATGCTATCTATTGTATGTGTATCTATCTCCTTTTGTTTGACGAACGTGTTCACAGGATCCATATTTACAGGATTACCCATACGTGATAGAGTTACTTTGCAGCTATATTACAGTTGTAGCACGAATGGGTCGGCTCGACCGGGGGAAAGACCACGCTCTCACAGAATACCAGCGTAAAATAGCAGCTTAATGCTACTGTGTTGTGTATGGTGAGTGTTGGAAACCGGATACCCTATTTACTGGATACTAGTCCACAGGGGTGACACGAATCTGCATTTTGCTTCTTAATCAATGATAGATGTAGATGTCTATGGGCCACCACGCAAATTTTATTTATATGTATATGTGTAGATAGGATAAAAATTCTGGAGTATATTTATACACGGGTGACAACGGATCTGCGTTTTGATTCGGCATCGAGGATAGACGTAGATACCTATGGGTCACAGCAACTACTCCATCAGGTGGACTGTGTGCTAGTTTGTCACCCTATCCTATAAAAAAAAATTGGCAGGCTGGCAAGCGCAGATTTTTATTTTTAGGTGTTATTAGGAAGACGTTGCTACCTATTTCCTAGTTTGTTTCTCTTTGTCAGGACGATATGGGTAAGTCGCACCGCCACGCTCCTGCTCGGTCATCTAATATTCAAATATATATTAAAGTTGTTAAAAAAGACTAAAAGAATTTTTCCTAATCATGCTATACAACCTAATACGTTTGGAGCGCTGTAGTGTAAAGTATAGTACAATCTAGACCTAGGTTATAAATCCGTCACAAGGATAGGTTAGGTCCGTGACCGACGCTTTGGGACAAAGCGAACGGTGGACCTTGTTCGATCTTACGCTATTTATCATAGTACCAATAAATATACACGCGTTAGATAATGAATATAAGAGGATTAGTTTTATAAGAGCTCATAAGTCATCTCGATCGGGAACTGTCTCAAACTGCCAGTGTAAAATTAAAGCAACAGTAGCCATATATTAGGGTACGGACCGCGAACAAAGGTCGTGGATTTAAATCCGCCATTCGACAACTGTCGTGAACCACTCCATATATATACATTAAAAGATTACCTGGAGTGGTTAAAGAGAATATTAGCAATGTTAAAAGATTACCTGGAGTGGTTAAAGGGAATAATAGCAATCTTAAAAGAATTGCCAGTATTTTTAAAAGAAAATAGCAACATAATGCTGCTGTGTTTCCCACAGTGAGTGTAGAGAACCGGAGATCCTTTTTTACTAGTAGCGAGACATTCCAACTTGGTTCTTGGAGGTGACAACGCATCTACATTTTCATTCGAGGATAAATGTAAGTGTGTGTGGGCGACACCACTTACTATCGAGAATTGTGTTAAATAAGCTCTTTTAAGTGCAATTAACAATATCAGTGGCACCGGCGGGAAACGAACTTGAATTGGTTGTGTAGACTGCTCTGTTCGGATTTATAAAACTTTTATTAGTTTTAATTTCGCATTTTTTTCTAGTTTAACAATTTTATTAAAGCTTTGATTACCTATGGGTCTATTCTATTTTAATTAAGAAGATTGGCCATAGGCCTTAAAAAAAATAGGATACTCCCTTTATTCGTTTTTGCTCCGGACAGAGGAATTTGTTTTTGAAACGATAGATTAAAAATATGATGTTTGACGAACGAAATTTAAATAACTTAATTTAATGTCTTATTTCTTTGACCGGGTCAGATCGGGTACTATGAAACAATGTAGTAAATATTACTTCACCGCGGGTAAATTTTTTACACAATTTTTTTACCCGACTGCGCCAGAAGGAAAGTAATGTTTTTCGAATGTATGTATGTATGTATGTATGTTTTTTTTCTTTGGCACGTTCTGTAGCCTAAATGGATTGAATCCATCAATCCATTTAGGCTAATGAACATAATCTGGGGATATTTTATATTTCATCAAATATCTAAAAATCTATGAAGAATGTACTGATATAGTAAATGGAACAATGATAGGTTATTTAAAGCTCTTTAATAAAAAAATAAGAAAACATTTCGTAATTTTTTTGTTGTAATTAAAAATGTAATTTTTTTTAATCACAGTAGAAAATTAGTATGATAAAAAAACTTTATTTTTTTCTTATAAAACTTTTTTTAATTAAAATTGATTATTAAATTAATTTTCATTAAAATTGAAAAAATGTTAGAAAATCTTATCAATGTGTTGTTATATCTTACATTAATTATACATCGATATCGATTGTTCATTCTTAAAATTAAATTGTGAATGTCTTGCTGCGGTTTGAGGTCCCATGTTCTTTGCAAGTGTTCGTAAAGTTATTGTTCCGTCGTCAAATTTGGACGGTAATCTCTCAAAGCTTTTCGTTGTAACATGTCCCAGGCATGCTCGATAGGATTTAATTCGGGCGACTGTGCAGGCCAATCCAAAACTAGAATTTCGTGGTTTCGGAGAGCGGCCAATACCAGCCGCGCCGTATGGGGAGGAGCATTATCGTACATGAGTAGAAATTCCTGGCCCATTTGGATTCTGTGTGGGACAATAACAGGCTCTACTACGTAGGACACTCAAAAAGATTTAAGATATACAAAAAGTATTCGAGATACTATTAATATTTATTTTATATCTTTTCAAAATATTCTCCATCATGTTCCATACAAAGTTCAATTCGCCTAAACCAACTCTGAAAACACTTTTGCCAGCCTTGATCTGACAGGTCGGAAATCGCTTCTTCGTAGGCAGCCACGGCTTCTTCGGCGCTTGAAAAAAGTTGCCTTTTATTTTTTCTTCGACTCTTGGGAACAAAAAGAAATCACATGGAGCTAAGTCAGGGCTTATGGGGTGGGGGACTTAGAGTTTCGAAACCAGATTCCTCAATAAATGCTTTTGTTCTAAGGGAGGTATGTGAAGAAGCGTTATGGTGATGTATTGAATGATTCCACGAAGCCCGGTCTTTGGTCTTCTCTCCCGCATAGCTTGAAAAGCTTTGGGTAATACAACTGTAGTATATACCATTCAGAATTGACTGACCTACAATTTTCCAGCATCGACGTCGACAAAAATCCGCTCCGCGAAAATAACTAGCCACCATTTTTTTGCCGACGTTGCGAGGTTTTTGCAGTTTTGTCGGTAACTGTCCTTCTGAGTAGACCCATGATTGCCTTTTATTTTCCGGATCATATTGATAGATCCATGTCTCATCACCAGTAACGATTTCTGAAACACGCCTAGATGCCCCGTTTTCAAAACGTAGACGCATTTCATGGCACCAATCTATACGAGTCTGTTTTTCGCTTTCGAAGAGCAAACGAGGGATCCATCGACAACAAAGCTTCCTCACTCCAAGATGTTGATGTAGGATGGTATGAATGCTCCCCGAACTAACGCCTACAATATTTTCGATGTTCGTATATGTGATTCGTGGGTCTTCTTTTCTTGAATTCAGCAAACCACCCAAAAGTTTTTGCGAGTGATGGAACTGAGTCCCCTAGTGCTGATTGTAACCGTTGTAAACTTAATTGTTCGTTTAAACCAAATTTAAAATCATAATATATCATAGCGCGCAAATGTTCACGGTTAAGATCCATCGTTTTAAATGAAAAGCACGGGAAGCGGCGTTGTAGGAAGATTAATATAACTTTGTTTTTTTAATTTTTTTTTTATAGGAGAGGGGGCAAACGAGCATGCGGCTCACCTGATGGTAAGTGACTACCGCCGCACATGAACAACTGCAACACCAGGGGAATCGCAGATGCGTTGCCGGCCTTTTAAAAAGGAGTACGCTCTTTTCTTGAAGGTCCCTAAGTCGTATCGGTCCGGAAAAATCACTGATGGTAATCGATTCCACAAGGAGGTCGTGCGAGGAAGAAAACATCTTCTAAATCGCACAGTGGTGGACCGCCAATCATCCAGATGGTGTGGATATATTGAGCAATTGGCTTATGGAGTTCTATTTTTAAATAAATTTGCTTTTTAGAAACATATAACACGGGTGCGTTCCATTTTTAAATTTCTAGCATCTCAAAACTTATTGAGTGACCTACGTACCTTCTCGTGGTATTTTTGTGCGGTCACGCGGCCTTGGATCCAAAAGAGCTGGGTTCGTCCGCCTAGACGAATTCCTGCCTACACCATGATTGTCCTGCCTTGGTATGAGTGGACCTCCTGAGGGTGCCGTAGACGGCTAACTCTCCCTGGAGTTCTTCAAACGGTGTTTTTTGTGAATTCAGATGAAACCCTAACCGGGACTCATAGTAGAAGAGCCCACGAAAGCCACCGATCGCGATTGCCACGTCGCAATGCTGGAACCCGTAGTGGTCTTTGAGCATGAAGAACAACTTCATGCAACCTCCTTCGCACGGTTTGGTCGCTTACCAGCAGCTGGTGGTCTTCCTGGAGCCTTTATAGTAGTTGCATCGCTGTGATATTGGATTATCTTCTGGCAGTCATTTGGAGAAATCTAACCTGGCTCTACGTAGTAACAATATATCTACCCGTGTGCCGTTCAGCCACATTCCCAGTACTGCGATAACTTGACCATAACTTTGATAGCACGTTTTGGCTGGTATGTAGAGCCTCAGCAACGACGCGTTGAATAGCACCATTTACTAATATGCCCACGGCTCGTAACATTTCATCGCGACTCAAATGACGACGTGACATGACTCTTAAATCTCCCACGGCACGTTACATTGAAAAAGAAAAACAATCTAATCCCTTTTCATTAATTAATATCAGTAGAAAATTTTAATTTTCCTTGACTTAACGAATTACTAACAATTTTGCCACCGTTTTTGTTTTTTCTTTTGTTTTGTTTTTAATATCTATACGTGGTAGAGCCATGCTGCAGCTATATTAGAAGTATAGTTGTAGCATAAATGGGTCGGAACACCAGCGTAAAATAGCAGCTTAATGCTGCTGTATTTCGTATGGTGAGTGTAGAGAACCGGAGACCCATTTTACTGGAAAAGAGGCATTCCATCTTAGTCCTCACGGGTGACGACGCATCTGCATTTTGATTCTTTATTGAGGATAAATGTAGATGTCTATAGGTTACAGCAACCACGTACCATCAGGTGGACTGTGTGCTAGTTTGTCACCCTATCCTATAAAAAAAATATAAAATTTAAAAATAATAAAGGTTTCAGTCTGTATATAAACTTTTTAAGGAAACTAAAAATATGTTAAACTATAAAGTCTTATATAATTAAGGATTAAGTTATCCCCAGATTCTGTTGATGTGTGTACATATGTGGTGTCGTAGAATCGTCTTTGTTGTAGAAGTGACATAGGATATCAAACTTTTACATTTACAGCAATCTTTTTACGTAAGTGGGTTCTTTTTAATTACTGTATTAGGCCAGGCTCTCCTTTTCTAATTCGAAGTGTGCAAACTTCTTTTACTTACCCAGTATGTACATCATGGTGAAACAGTTATCAAAGGCGAGGCCCACCAGGAATCTGCACACAGAGAATGACCAGAAGCTACTGCAGAACGCAGTGCCCACGCCGGCGGTGAAACCCATGATGTTTGTACCTGAAAGAAGTCAAGGATAGTTTTCCACGTTTGCTAGTTCTAGATCTAGAATCTTGTTTTCACGGTTGGATCAAATTTTATATTAATGTAAAAATCCATCCATCCATCTATTACAGCCTATCCAGGTCCATTGCCAAACCTAAGGCCTCCCGATAGATTGACTTATACGGGGGATATTTGCCATAGTTGCCAAGCCCCGCAGGCAGGTTGGCAAGCGAATTTTTTTTAGTTGTTATTAGGAAGACGCTGCTGCCCATCTCCTGGTTTGTTTCTCTCTGTCGACTCTTACGACACCCACAGGATGATATGGGGTAGTGAAAAGTCTTATACTGCCACTACACGGCGGTATTAGTAATCAAACAAAAGGAATTAGTAAATTGGTGTTTATGCCTTATATTGTATGTTATGCCTTATATATGTTGTGTTACTGTTTCCTAAAACGGAGTAGTGCATGTCGAACAGGACTTTGATAGGCTGTTGGAAAATAACATGTGTGCAGTTCACACGCGGTAGAAGTGAAAGCTACAAATTAAAGAAGTACAAAATATACATAATATAAACACGACAAATTATCTATTTAATATAATAATTGAATAATAAATATAATAATTCAACCACAAATACGGAATAAAATATAACATAGAAATATAATTTTATAGCTAATAAATGTTACAATCCTTATTTTTAGACATGTATAAAGCCTAAAAGACAATGGCGAACTCCCAAACAAGTTTTTGTTGACATTTTTTTCTTGCGTCTACAAATAAAAATATGTAAAAATATAAAGTTTGAAATCCTTAACAATTTTTCTTCAGTCATACTTCTGCAGGTAGTCAGGAATTAAATATATTCCAGGTTGAACAAAATTCACATCAGACTAGGCTATATGGTATATGACCTTTGCCTGCCTTAATTAACGACTTGTTACAACAACGACAACTATATAGTCAATTCGATTATGCTTGGAGTAAAGAGGGAATCCTAAAATAAGAACAAAATTATCGTAGTTGAATTCTTTATGCTTATGGCATTTTACGTGGTACAAAATAAGATGGCAATATTATTCTCACCCTTCTTTTACAAGGTTGTTGCCTTTTTCCATTCCATAGACATCTCAATTAATGTGCTATTAGCGTAACAAACTCGAAGTACCGCTTTGAAGTATTTTACTTATTTATGTTTGTCTAATCGACGACGGGGTTGATACGATAGTGTAAATACTGCGGCACGACCGCGGTATGTTTCATCTTTTCTCGCTCCACCACCTCCCTCTCTTAGAAAGTGGGTTGGTTGGCAATTAGTATTATTTTTAGTTAAACGTTTTATCGACGTTACAACCGTAAGGCCGCGTTCCGACAACACGCACCCGCTACGCGCACGCCACGACACGCGTCAGCACCCGCGTCTAACTTGCTATATAATTTGAGTCTTACGACAAATCAATAAATTTGAAATTGTATAAAAATCGCGGGCGCAAGGCGTAGCAGGGCAGCGGCATGGCAGGTGCAGCGCGGGGCCTGCGCGAAGCGGGAACGAGGCGGGCGCGTGACGTGTGCGAGGCGTGTGCGGTTGAACGTCGAAAAATGCAATTTCAGATTTATTGATTTGTCATAAGACTCAAATTATATGCAACAAATTTCAAAGCGAGTTAGACGCGGGTGCTGACGTGCATGGCGTGCGCGTAGCAGGTGCGTGTCGTCGAAACACGTCCTAAGCCGCAATGACACCATGCAAGACATTAAGCCGCGTCTCCACCAACGTTTTGTTGCCAACAAAACTTGTTTACATTTTCGGCGGCAACATCAAAGGAATACGCTTGTTGCCATCATTTGTTTCCTCGTTGGAGATGCTTGTTGGAAACAGTTGGAAACATAACTGTTGTCAACATTTTTGGTGGATACATGGCTTTAGATGGCATCCATCAATCTAGCAGGTAATTCGATTTTTCATATTCAAATTGTTTTAGTATATGAATTTACGTTTATGTGAGTATATGTGATTGATAATTTGTTTATAGTGGCCTCGTTACCCTGTGGTTCTGTGACCATAATAATTATCTGTGACATAGTTATCTGACGCAATTAATATTTTTTTTAATTGAAGCTACCATAAGGGACTTTGAGACATCCATTTAAAAACAATCGAATCATATTGATCTCAAGGTTAGCTAAAATGTTGAAAGGACTTTCAAATATCTTTCTCAATACAACTACTTCTCTATACAATGTTAGTATACCTACCTACCGTAACTTTAACTCCGCCGTTGCCGGTCCCAAGCCCGGATGAGAAAGGAGGAGGGGACGAATCCGCCGGAGAGAGTGGGTGTATCCGGTGGACTAACACCCACCTGCGCTAGGACCTGCGCAGTCGAGCGCCGTACGCGGGGATGAAGGAGTCCTGGAGGGTTGAGCCGATCGTCGCTGGGGTATATAGTGGCGAGAGGCAACACGCCCTCTTTGGTCCGGATTTCAAGCTAAACGGTGGCCCTATCTGCTAGCCACAGATAGGGAAATGGCCAAGCGCCCCGTCAGAGGGTCGCAGGCGAGGGATGTGGGGGCTGCCTAGTCTTCCTGAAAAGGGGGCTGGGTGGTGGTAAAGGCCATGCTGACGGAGCAAGTGACAGTTTATTCGGGTGGTGGGGATGGGCCTTGTCAGCCCCATCTACCAGCTGGATCGAGCTCCCGATGTCGCACTGTGAGCCAACTTCGCGTCCCTATATTCTCCCGGTAATCCTAACGCCTGAAATTCCTAAAGTAGGGCGTTTCCAAAGGTGCGGGCTCCATGGAGGGTGGGAAGCCGGGGGGATGAATTTTAAAAAACACAAATTATGGACAATTTAAGGCCCAATAAGAAGGAGGGAGAGGTGTCAGAGGTGCTTACCAGAGACACCAAAGAACAAAAGGGAACCGTCACTAAACCGACGGTTCCACGGACAGTACCGTCCAGCGTAGGTGCCCCCACCAAAGGGATAACCTCGCTGAACGTTTCCAAAACCAGTTCCAAGGAGCTGGAAGAGAAAAAGAAACAAGAGCCCGCAAGTGATAAAACTGCGGAGCCACTACGGACTGACGACCTTTTCTCTGCTGCCTGGCAAGTGGTGAGCCGTAAGGGGAAAGGCAAGGCACCCAAAAAGGTGACTTGCCGACCTGACGGACCATCAGGAGGGTCTATCCCTGCAGGCAGTAGTGGAAAGGCCAAAAAGAAGAACAAGAAGCAGCGGGAAAAAGGCCGTAGAGAACGAGCCGCATTGGCTGCTTCAGATACCAAAACCAAGGAGGCTGGGCAAGCTACTGCGACTGAGGTGCTTGGCGCTGGAACCAGTAGCCGCGCTGAAGCTGGGAAGGATAAAAATCCAGCCCAAGTGGAAGTCGCGGACGCGGGAACCAGCTCTAGGATATCCGCCAGGAAGCAGCGAGCGGCCAAGCGTCCTGGGAAGAAGGAAAGAGCAGCCAAAAGGATGCTGGAAGAGTCCACCTCGCCTAGAGGTGAACACAAAAAAGTGCGACTCGAACAGCAACCAAAGACTGCAAGAACGAGCTACGCTTCCGCTGCTAAAGCAGATTTGGGTGTGGCCTTAACGTGTGCGCGTTCAGGTCACATTACGAAGGAAGTAGCAGACGACATCCTCGTAGCAATACAGAGGAAGATGATCAGCGAGGCCTGGAGTAGCCAGGACCCTGATGCGTCGGGCCCAGTTTTTAGGGGCAAACCCGTTTATACGGAAGGTGTCCTGAAACTGTGGTGCGACGATCAGAAGGCTCTGGACTGGTTGAAGGGGAACATTGCTACCCTCAACCTTAAATCCAGCACCTTGCTGACAATAAAGAAACAGTCAGAGATACCACAAAGAGTCAAATGTGGTATCCTTATCCCTGATGCCCAGGGGGCCTGGAAAGACTCACGCGACATTGGTCGCGTGTTGGCGTACCAGAACCGCTGGGTTAACATCAGGGACTGGCTGTTACTCAAGGCAGATAAGCAGACGGACGGGTGGTTCCTCGTTGTTTCGGTGCCGGAGGATCATATCCCGACCCTGATGAAGGCCGGACGCCGTCTCGCATGTGTATGCGGGGCGGTATACGTAAAATTCCAGGGTCGTGGAGGCAAATTCTTTGATACTCCACCGAGCAAAGAGGTAGAAAACAACCCGGAAGTTATGGATACCGGAGCCATAGTTACCGGTACAGCGGAATCACTGGAGGCCAAGTCCAGTGAAGAAACGGCCTGCACAATTGAGCCGAAGCCCCCAGTGGAGATTGGGCTCAGCGGCAGCTCACTGAGTGACGAGGAGGACTGCATTTTGCCGACCACCTCCGACTCGGTGGCTGACGATGAAACCCGAGATCTTCTGGCAGGCCTATTTTTGGGCGGGGACGGGGAGGACGCGATCAATGATGGCGTGCCCTTCGTCCATAACTAGCCTAGTGCAGGCCAACCTCCACCACAGCGAAACTGCGTCGGCTCAATTACGCAAGTGGTTGGAGGTTCAAAGGACTGCCATAGCCTTAATCCAGGAGCCATGGGTTGGGGCTGGTAAAATTAAAGGCCTAAACAACCTAAAAGGTAAGTTATTCTACAGCTCTGAACACGACAAGCCTAGAGCGTGTATTTACACTACTAAAGATATCTGTGCACAACCTTTAACAGATTTCTGTTCTAGAGACATGTATGCCGTAGCAATACAGTACACACAGGAGAGTAGATTAGTCGTCGCCTCGGTCTACATGCCGGAGGAAGACACTCCTCCCCCTCATGACCTCAGCAGGCTGGTGAACTTCTGCGAGAGGACCGGACTAGAGGTTGTGATCGGGACGGACTCCAACGCACATCATCCCCTTTGGGGAATGGAAAAACCAAATGAACGAGGTAAAGTTTTAGTTGAATATTTATTTAGTACTAACCTAACCATTTTAAACATAGGTTCTGAACCTACTTTCATAAACAAACGCTGTCGCACTATAATCGACCTCACACTTGCAACAGAAGGAGCAGCCAAACTAATTACGGGATGGCATGTGTCGAGAGAGGCCTCATGCTCAGACCATAGATGGATCTGCTTCGCACTACAGGTCGATATCCCCTCTACACCACCATGGAGAAATCCCCGCAAGACAGATAAAACTAAATACCTAAATAGGCTGACGTCTTTGCTAGCGGATTTTGAGGGGATAAATACTATAGCAGATCAGTCGCTCCTAGAAGAACAGGTAGCAGCTGTTACTAAGGCCATGATAGACAGCTACCATGAATCATGTCCAGAAATCACTCCACCAAGACATGCCGAGGTAAAACAACCGTGGTGGGGTAAAGAACTCGATAGAAAACGTAAGAAGGTAAGAAAAGCTCTAAATAGGGCCATGAATACCTCAATGGATGAAGACTGGCTATTATATAAGAAAGCTAAGTCTGAATACAAAAAATGTATCAGGTATCGACGCTCGATTGGGTGGCGTAAATTCTGTGGCAACATAGAAACCTGCAAACAAGCAAATAGGATTAGGAATATTCTAGCTAAACAGAACACGTCGGGATCCATGTCTCTAAAGAAACCCGACGGTAGCTACTCAACATCGCCGGATGAAGCCCAACGCATCCTAATTGAAACGCACTTCCCAGGTTGCTGCGTAACCCAGGAGGCAAACCGGCATGACGACATACTGACATCAACAGCAGAAGACTGGAATTTAGCACAGAGAGTGGTAACGATGGACAAAATCCATTGGGCCATTCACAGTTTCCTCCCCTATAAGGCGGCAGGACCCGACGGCATATTCCCGGCACTCCTACAGTGGGGGGGTAAAGCCCTAATAGTCAGACTTGCTGCCATAATGCGAGCCTGTCTTGCTCTTAAATATGTTCCTAGGGGATGGAGGGAAGTGAAAGTTACATTCATACCCAAACCAGGTAAGAGCGACTACACTGACCCTAAATCCTACAGGCCCATTAGCCTCACATCCTTTCTCCTAAAGACGATGGAGAGGATGTGTGTAAGGGAATTAAGGGGGTCGGCGCTAATGAACTTACCACTACACGACAAGCAACACGCCTACAGTCTAGGCAAATCAACAGAATCGGCCCTTCATAAGGTAATTACAAAGATTGAAGAGGCCATCCAAAACAAAGAAATATGTCTAGGTTCCTTCATAGATATAGAAGGTGCTTTTGACCGAACGAACTTCTCCAGCATAAAAGGTGCACTCGGTAGACACAAAGTTGAACCGGCACTGATCGACTGGATAGTTTACATGCTCAGTACACGAATAATAAAGATTGCTGGTGAATCTCAACCAATCCAAATTAAGAAAGGCTGCCCGCAGGGTGGGGTTCTCTCACCTCTCCTGTGGAATATGGTCATTAATGAACTCATCAGCAAATTAAATGACAATCACTTCTATACAGTAGGTTATGCTGATGACCTGACAATACTGGTCTCTGGAAAGACAGCAAGCATAGTGTGCGACCTGACCCAAGCGGCTCTCCGTATAGTGGAGAGATGGTGCAGGGAACACGACTTAACCGTCAATCCAAATAAAACGGTTTTAGTTATGTTCACACAAAAACGAAAGCTGAATAACTATCATCCTCCAAGTCTTTTTAGCACAAAACTCCAGCTATCCTCTGAGGTAAAATATTTAGGTCTTACCTTGGACAGTAAACTTAACTGGAATAAACACATAGAAAACAAAATCAACAAAGCTAGTATAACTTTCTGGCAATGCAGAAACATGATTGGCAAAAGATGGGGATTGACGCCAAAAATCATACTGTGGCTTTACAAAACTGTAATTCGGCCCATGATCACATACGGCGCTCTGGTATGGTGGACCAAGACAAATGAAGCCACCATAATTAAAAAGCTTCAGCGCTACCAGAGACTGGCATGTATGGCTGCTACAGGCTGCATGAGAACTACGCCAACAGCAGCCTTAGAAGCGATGCTGGAGCTAACTCCGCTTCATCTACATATACAACAAGAAGCGACTTTAGCTGCCATCAGACTCAAGACCCTAAATCTTTGGAGTAAGAATAGTGTCCCTCATACAGGCATAATTGATAGAATTCACTCAAAAATTCCTATCCTACAAGCCAAATACGATAGGATTCCTAAACAATTTGTTTTCGATAAGAAATACAAGATACAGTTAAATGAAAACAGCCAGCCGGAAGGATTAAGCCCAAAAGAGCTTAGAATTTTCACCGATGGTTCTAAAACAAATGAAGGTGTAGGTTGTGGGGCTTTCTCTGAAGACCTCAATATTCACATATGCACACCGCTGGGTACCTATAACACGGTCTTTCAGGCGGAATGTATGGGTATCATTCAAGCGGCCATAGCAATAGATGCTAGGAAGGTTAATGACTTCCCCATCAGAATACTGACCGACAGTAGGGCGGTACTCCAAGCCCTGAGATGCAATGTGGTGAACTCGGGACTAATATATGAATGCCATCAACGATTAAATGAGGTATGTAAAAACAACAATGTGACCCTGCAATGGATAAAGGGACACAGTGGATCCAGAGGCAACGATGCAGCAGACGAACTTGCCAGAAGAGGATCGGCTTTGGCCACTATAGGGCCGGAACCAATCATACCAATCCCCTTTGGTAACGTTTGTTCACTGGTACGTAGACACTTCACTAATCAACACGCTCAGCTTTGGAAAAATCTAGTAGACTGTAGACAAGCTAGGGATGCCCTGCCTGAAATTAACAGTCGCTTAACAAAAGTTTTAATGAGACTGAACAAGCCGCAGATTAGGATAGTAACAAGTGCTATCACAGGACACGGCACCTTTAACAAACATTTATTTACTATAGGTGTTACAGATAGTCCCCTGTGCAGGGCATGTATGGGGGAGGAAGAAACGGCGGCCCACGTGCTACTGAAATGTCCGGAGGTCGCTACATACAGGGCTAAACATCTCGGCACGCCGGGATCACTCCCCGAAGTTGCATGCAACATCAAGGGCCTGTTGAGCTTCTTCGGGGAGATCTCATGGCTCGAATAATCACATTATTCCTGCCCACACGCAAAATACGCGCATAGACGTGGAGTTGCGGAAAACAGCCCGTCGTAAACTAAACTAAACTAAACTAATACCTACCTACCTATAGCGTTTGTAAAAAGTTAGCGCGTTTCCAAGAACTCGTTAGAATATTGTGTCAAATTATAGGTACGTAATACGTTTTTGTCCCATCGTAATGATTTGGTTTTATTTAAGAGTTCATTTGGTTTTTTAAGAGTTAATTTGTTGCGTAATTATACATGCATACATACATATAATCACGCCTCTTTCCCGTAGGGGTAGGCAGAGACCACTTCTTTCCACTTGCTACGATCCTTACATACTTGTTTTGCTTCGTCCACTTTCATTATTCCCTTCATACATGCTCTACGGTTTAGGGTACTCTTGACCTGGCCTTTATTATATACAAAATATATACAAAAACCTTTTTTGTTGCAGTTGTTATTCGAAGTACGCTACTTACTATCCCCTAGTTTTTTTTTTACCTCTGTAGCCTTTTACAGCACCTACGGGACGATACGGTGTACTGGATATTCTTACACCGCCACTACGCAGTTATCTTGTGTATTAAGCAGGTAAGCTGTAGGTGCAAGTCGTCTGTTATTGCGAATTGTAATCTGCGTGTACCTGCATTCGTATACTTAGAATTCTTACCTACTAAAGCCGGAATCCTGCCGTATTTGTCAGCAATCCAGCCGAACACCAAGCCACCAACAATGGCCCCACAAAAGAAGATGGCCTGAGCAGTCGCTGGTAGATTGTCCTTTTCGCACACCCAATCTAACTGCAATATAATTCAATTGTTAAATATTTTAGTGAATATTATTTATCTGTTGTTGTTTTTCTTTTCAATATTGAAATATTTTTCTAAGGCGTGAAAGTTTAGCTACAACAACATCAATTATATGGGTGTCCTAAAAATCGGCGAAAAGTAGTGCTAAGATGATCTTGTGGCAACGCGTGAAAAATAAAATAGTGTGTCTTACATAGTGCAAAGCACCACACTCCCTCTGTCAATTGCATGTATAAGTCGCGGCACGTAAGTCTAGCGCTGAACAAAACGTGGAGGGGATAGCTGCGCATGGGTACTGTCGCACACGAATTGAATTGCACGAATGTGACTGGAGAGCCAATCAGCGCGTGCAAACGATACGCACGAGCCAATCAGCGTTACTTCTTCGCAATAATGGTCACCACTAGACTTTCATGCCGCTACTTATAATATTACGGCCTCCACTAAACCCACACCTACTTCACTACTTAAAAACACACCACCATCGATAATACGACACGTGCTATGCCTCTCCAAAGTAAGGCCTGATTCCATTAATTGTCTCTTTCTTGTCTGTCTGTTTGTTTATATGTCTGTTCCGTAAAAAAATTCCAATCGATTTTAAACTCCCCGATGAGTTAGAGATTAATTTTCAGAATTTTACGTGGTAGAGCCACGCTGCAGCTATATTATGTTGTAGTACGAATGGGTCCGCTCTACCGGAATACAAGCGCAAAATACTTCGTATGGTGAGTGTCGAGAACCGGAAACCCTTTTTACTGGAAATGAGGCATTCTATAGTCAGATTCTATCCTCAGAGGTGACAAGGCATCTGCATTTTGATTCTTAATCGAAGATAAATGTAGATGGGCTACAGCATCCACTCACTGGACTGTGTGCACGTTCGTCACCCCCATTCTATAAAATAAAACTAGAGCGTAGTAGAATGGGCAACAATTCTGTAAAAAAATGTATCCCATACTTACGTCAGAAGCGATGGTGTCATAAGGAACGTCACTCCTATTGTATTCCCAGCCATTGGTGCAAGTCACGATCGGCCACTCATCGTCAGGTGTCGTTCTTCCTTGCGCCAGAGCCTTGGACCAGTCAGCAACGTACATATGACATCGGTCGTGTGAGTAGGGCCCATCTGATTTTGGGGGTATAGCTAGGGCGCGCCTGCGGTGAAAAGATTACTGAATATAGTATACGTGGTAGAGCTATTCTGCAGCTATATTATGGTTGTAGCAATAGGTCAGCACGACCGGACCATAATGCTGCTGTGCTTCGTATGGTGAGAGGAGAGAACCTTAGCCCATTTTTACTGGAAACGAGGCATTCCAGCTTAGACCTTAGGGTGGACAACGCATCTCCATTTTGATTCTTAATCGAGTATAGATGACACAGCATACACTTACCATCAGGTGGACTGTGTACTCGTTATTCTATTTACAAAAATCGGCTAAATACGGCTCGGTAGCGTTTGGGTGCGGTGCTGGGGGCCGTGGGTTGAGTCCCGCACGGAAGAAAAGTCTTCGTATGGCCTACAGATAATTGTTCTGGATCTAGATGTTTGTATGTCTACAATTCATATATACGTGAAGCGCCTTCATGTTAATTTAATAGAAAATCCGAATGTACTGGCATAAGTCTAAAAAAGGAAAAAAAAAGAGAAATAAGAAAGTATATGTTACAGACGGTGATGGCGCAAGATAATCCATCACCTTACATCTACATGCGGATATCGCGACTATGGTGAGTGCCAAAAATATCTAATGACTTTCGATAGACGGTGGTATACTGTCTCGTTTACGCTGGATATAAAATATTTAGCCTCTCTCCTAAATATTGTTGCGCGCCACAATTAATACCACTAGCGCCCTCTAGTATCGAGTAGCAGAACTAGGAGAGTCAAAACCTAGAAATTTCCATGGAAGAACTTTCTGGAACATCGACACCTAGTCAATCGGGACCGATATGTACTCGAACACTCTAGATGTTTCTACAGTAGAAGGTTCTGGAAACTATATATATATATATATATATAAACTGCGAACTAAAGTGGTCAGTAGTATATTTGTGTTTTATTATTAGTGTGGTTTTAAGTTGTAATTAGTGTTCAGTAATTAAAGTGTCAATTTAAGTAATTCAATCGGCAGTTTTTAATTGTGTCGAACCCCAAGCTCGTAACAATATTATAAACGAAAATGCCTTTAGAATAATGTAAATGAAGAGATTAGGAAGAAGGTGTTACGAATTTTTGCACAGGAATTGCTCTGGATTGCACTCAGTGCTTCGTTTTGATTTGGAGAGTTGGAGTTAGGAGAATCAATATATTTATTACCTGTGAGGCAACTCATCTTAGTCCTTTGAGGTTTATTCCATGTAGGTCTGGGATTTATGGTTCCCGTGTTTAAATGTGGAACTAGAATGCTAACCTATAGAATATTAAGTTTATGATTTTGTAGGCGATGGGCTGGCCACCTATCATTTCTTTCACAATTTTCCATCTATAGCCATATTTTTTGCTGGTCCGAATAGATCAGTGTTCTTTGGACTCTGCCTGCCCTATTGATGATCACAGGTATTGCGCTACATGTATGTCTGTATGTGCCCACAGAATTGACAATGATATCGCATCTGTGGTCTTTTTATTTTGAAGTCTTGAAAACCGAAGAAGTTGCAGGCGTTCATGCATCAGTAACCACTTACCACCAGGTGGATTGTTACCTTGCTAGCCTCTGTAATATATTTTTTTTATAGGATAGGGTGACAAACGAGCACACAGTCCACCTGATGGTAAGTGGTTACTGTGACCCATAGACGTCCACATTTATCCTCAAAAAATAATCAAAATGCAGATGCGTTGTCACCCGTGAGGACTAAGATGGATGCCTATTTTCCCGTAAAAAGGGTCGCCGGTTTGTCTACACTCACCATACGAAACACTGTTAAGCTGCTATTTTACGCTGGTATTCTGTGAGAGCGTGGTCCTTTCCCGGTCGGATCGACTCATTCGTGCTACAACTATACTATTTTATAGCTGCAACATGGCTCTACACGAACCATGATGAATAAATTAGATTAAATATTACAGTTGGCGTAAATCAAAATGTTACTTATAAGTTCCTCCAAAACATAATACGAATTACAAATCGCCTCTAGAAATACAGTTCTCGCACAACTTCTTTATGGAATTCGCATGTCACTAGTATTTTTTCCAGACCGATACGACTTAGTGACCTTCGAGAAAAGAGCCTACACTTTTTAAAAGGTTGGTAACGCACCTGCAATTCCCTTGGTGTTGCAGTTGTGTATGGGCGAATGTAGGTACATACCATCAGGTGAGTCGCATGCTCGTTTGCCGCCTTTTATATAACAAAAAAAAAACATAATAACTTCATAAATCAAGCAAATTATCGAGTATGAACCAATTCCGCTTCGAATTAAAACTATCAAGCAATTCAGAGCGCCTCAACTGAGGCGGGAGGCAAATAAAAACCGCTCAAGGTTCAATAACTCCGCTGAAGGTTTTTCCTGCACCAAACGGATTTGGAACGGCTCCGTGATTTAGGAAATTAAGTAATAAATCGATATCCAATTATACGTTAGGTTTGTAATAGCAAACTCTCGAGGCGATCTAACGTAATAGGGTACGTGCGAAACGACAGTAGCGTAACGGTTAAGGTCACGGAGTGCGTAACTATATAGTCGTGGGTTCGAGTCCATGTGACCAGTCGTAAACCACTGCCTGAATAAGCGTTTTAAGTTTAACTGGTTAGCGACGATATTGTTCACAGTATTGCTAGAGATCCTTTAAAAAATACATTTTGTAAATAATATATATATATATATATATATATATATATATATATATATATTATTTACAAAATAGACCGTGCAGTAACTGTGAAAGAATATTCGCTACCCTGGCCATTACCATTACAACCTACAAAAGTCCACTGCTGAATACAGGCCTTCTCCATAGATTGCGTCATAGGGAGGATTTTGCCATGGTTGCCACGCTTGGCATGTAGATTGGCAACCGCAGTTTTTTATAATTTTGAGTTGCTATCAGGAAGACGCTGCTGCCCATCTCTTGCTTTGTTTGCCCCTGTCGCCTCTTACAACACCCACGGAACGATATGGGGTAGTGGATACTACACCGCCTCTATATCCGTCCCCCTCATATCATCCTGTATTTGTCAAAGGAGGCCAAATAGGGAAACAAACCATAAGATGGACAACAGCGGATTCCTAATAACAACTAGAAAATAAAAATTGCGGTTGCCAACCCTTCTGCCAAGCATGGCAACTATGGCAAATATCCCCCTTATGAGGTAACTTATGGCATATGTTTAGTAGTGGACCTTGATAGACTTTTTTTTATAGGATAGGGTGACAAACGAGCACACAGTCCACCTGATGGTAAGTGGTTGCTGTGGCCCATAGACATCTACATCTATCCTCGTTTGCGAATCAAAATGCAGATGCGTGAGTACTAAGATGGAATGCTTCTTTTTCAGTAAAAAGTGTCTCTGCTTCTCTACACTCACCATACGAAACACAGCATTGTTAAGCTGCTGTTTTACGCTGGTATTCTGCGAGCGTGGTCCTTCCCCGGTCAAACCGACAGAGTCGTGCTACAACTATAATACTAATATAACTGCTGCATGGCTCTACCACGTATAGAACTTTAACGAATGAATGAATTTTATAATGTAAGAGTGACAAACGAGCTGTCAGTCGACCTGTAGTAAGTCACTATTGAAAGAAAGAAAGAAAGGTTCTCGAGTACCAGCATCATACTGGTGAGTCGAGTGTAGGGGTGCTCTCAATAGATGGAGTGACGGCCTAGTAAGACATGCAGGAAGTTGATGAATGCAGGTGGCTGAGCACCGTGTTTTGTAAACTTCCTAGTAAGAACATATATCATGTTCAGCAGACTGTAATAATGATATAACAAAAACCAGGGTAATTGTAAAGAAAAAACTGTACATAGTAGAGCCACGTTACAGATATAATATGGTTTTAGTAAAAATGGGTCGGCTTCGCCCGGGGTAGGACCACGCTCTCACAGAATACCAGCGTCAAATAGCAGCTTAATGTTTCGTATGGTGAGTGTAGAGAACCGGAGATCATTTTTACTGCAAACGAGGCGTTCTATCTTAGTCCTCAGTGGTGACAACGCAACTGAATAAACGAGGATAAATGTAGATGTCTATGGGCCACAGCATTCACTTACCACCGGGCGGACTATGTGCTCGTTTGTCAACATTATTCTATAAGAAAAGAGTAATATGTCATAATTATTACGCGCAAATTTGTGATTTAGTGAACCGCTTTTGACTAAAACTTTGATTGATTTCTATATACAAGTAATATACTCTATTACCTCTACAGTATAGTTTTACAGGTAAAGAATACAAAAATATGGCATGTATTTTTTATACTTATATTAATTTAAAAACGAAGTTAATTAATTATTTTATTACATTAATTTAGGAACGAAGTTCCTTGCGTAGTATATTATTATTGCTAAACGTAGGTATTATATTATTGATTAACCAATATAAATAAATTAATTATTGGCGTCTATTAAAATGAAGTGTCATTTGAAATAAAATAATATTTCTTTCATTGCAAGATAAGAAAAAGTGCGTGGGAAATGGAATAATATCCACTTCCCTAATACGCCACCAAGGCCGTCTACACTATAACGGGTAGTGAGAAAAAATTTACACTTTTTGTCGCCTAGCCTCCATCCGCAAAACCCGTACTGTCCGATAAAGAACTTCGTTCCAATAATAACACATAATTTTCTCATAAATGCTCTCTGTAAATCCTTTTTTATTTGTATTGTTTATTGTTCAGTTCAATGACACCGAGCTATTTGTAGGAAGTTTTTAAGCTTCTGGGTCATGACAAACCGAATTCTGCGGTCAGCGTGAAAACTCTTTCTTATCTTCTAATACTTTAGGAATTCCTTCACTGTCAAGACCAACTGCTTAAAGAAGAAACTACCTCTGCAAAATCATGGTGAGGAAACACTAGATAAGTATAAAACTGACATCAAAAATTATTACCTGTCAGCCGTACCTGTCACAACGTGATCACTAATCTTCATTAGCGAGATTTGGATTTTCATTTTCCTTATGTACCTAATTACGTACTTATAT